GAAGATAATGACCTTGAAGAAAATGAAGATGATAAACAACATAAAGAAAGTTTGAAAAGAGTGACCTTTGCTTTGCCAGATGATGAGGAAACTGAAGATACAAATGTTTTAAATGTAAAGAAAAATTCTGATGAAGTTAAATCCTCTTTTGAAAAAAGACAGGAAAAGATGAATGAAAAAAATCACATCTTTAGAAAAAGAATTGTTGGGAAAAAAGCCTTGGCAGCTCCAAGGGGAAGTGACAGCACAGAAGCGACCAGAAAACAGCCTTCTAGAGGAGACCCTGCACTTTGACCATGCCGTCCGAATGGCACCTGTGATTACAGAGGAAACCACCCTTCAACTAGAAGACATCATTAAACAGAGGATAAGAGATCAGGCTTGGGACGATGTAGTACGTAAAGAAAAACCTAAAGAGGATGCATATGAATATAAAAAGCGTTTAACATTAGACCACGAGAAGAGTAAATTGAGCCTTGCTGAAATTTATGAACAGGAATACATCAAACTCAACCAGCAAAAAACAGCAGAAGAAGAAAATCCATAACATATAGAAATTCAGAAGATGATGGATTCCCTCTTCTTAAAATTGGATGCCCTCTTACACTTCCACTTCATCCCTAAACCGCCTGTACCAGAGATTAAAGTTGTGTCAAATCTGCCAGCCATAACCATAGAGGAAGTGGCCCCAATGAGAGTTAGCGATGCCACTCTCTTGGCCCCGGAGGAAATAAAGGAGAAACATACAGCTGGAGATATAAAAACAGCTGCTGAGAAAACAGCTACAGACAAGAAACGAGAACGAAGGAAAAAGAAATATCAAAAACATACGAAAATAAAGGAAAAGGAGAAGCGGAGGAAACTGCTTGAGAAAAGCAACCCAGAACAAGCAGGGAAATACTCCAAAGCAGTAGCTTCGGAGAAGTTAAAACAGCTAACTAAAGCTGGCAAGGCTTCCTTAATGAAGGATGAAGGTAAAGACAAGGCCTTAAAGTCGTCCCAAGCATTCTTTTCTAAATTACAAGATCAAGTCAAAATGCAAATCAATGGTGCAAAGAAAACAGAAAAGAAAAAGAAGAGAAGACAAGATATTTCTGTTCATAAATTAAAGCTTTAATATATTTTGAAAGTAATGTAAATATTAATGTGTAAGCTTATATTTTGTCATCGTTCTGTTTTATAATAAAAATTGTTGAGAGCCTTAAAAAAAAAAGTGAATGAATGCAAAATAAATCTTTAAAAACTTTAAAGTACATCCTGTATTGAGGTGACGTGGGTTCTGCATTTCTGCAAATGACACAATCAAAATGGGGCAACTGATTAGATGGCTGTACCTTCATTCTCTCTGTGAACCATCCTAAATAGATTATTTATTTCCATATCTTTTAGAACTTTAAAAATTTGAATTCCGAGCTTGTATCCCCATTTGCATAACTACCTTTTGTATTATAAAAGAAATACTAGTGATCTGTTTGCAATTTATGGTCAAGACAATAAGAGCTTGACTCTTGTTTTCTGATCATTTGTATGGAATGAATGAATTGACGAGCGCTTTTTTTTTTTTTTTTTTTTTTTTGAGACAGAGGCTCACTCTGTTGCCTGGGCTAGAGTGAGTGCCGTGGCATCAGCCTAGCTCACAGCAACCTCACACCCCTGGGCTCAAGCGATCCTGCCTCAGCCTCCTGAGTAGCTGGGACTACAGGCACGTGCCACCATGCCGGGATAATTTTTTTCTATATATATTTTTAGTTGTTTGGCCAATTTCTTTCTATTTTTAGTAGAGATGGGGTCTCGCTCTTGCTCAGGCTGGTCTCAAACTCCTGAGCTCAAAAGATCTACCCGCCTCGGCCTCCCAGAGTGCTAGGATTACAGGTGTGAGCCACCGTGCCCCTGCCTTTTGCTTGTCTTTTGTTTTCAGTTTGTGTCTGATTGTGTTTGATTGTACAAACGCAAGGTTTTTCAGCAGAGCTCTTAAAGAAAGATGTGCTCCATCAGGGTGTTTATAAGGGTGTTTTTCAGATCTCCTATTGAGTTGTGGCCCTTTATTTGGCTTCCCAACCAGCCCTTTTTGGGCTTAGCAATTAGTCAAAAGTAAGTAAAATGCATGCCTTTTAGTTGTGAGTAATTGAACTTTCCACCTGGGGCAGCTTGACAAGCCTCCGATTAAAATTGAATCTGGTCAACAGGGAACATGCTATAATGTGGACTTGATCCTGCTTTGGTGATCCAGGCTTTTTATCTGTCATGCTCCAGAGTGAGAGTTTAAAGCGTCAGCAAGAAGAACATTATAAATTATATTTGTTCTCATTTTTATATTTCAGGAAGCAATCTGTGTGGTCAGATACAAGAAGGTCAGATACAAAGCCGGGTGTAACTCAGTGTCACAACTTTCTCCAAAGTCAGTACTCTGTTTCTCTTTGTTCTCAGCAACAATCTTGCCTCATCCTTTGTGGCTGCTCAGTGATAACCTTGTGTCTCCTGTTGCCTTTCCTGTGTTATCTCCTCTCCCTTCAGTCTGTTTCCAACCCAGAACTTGACCATTTTTTTTTTTTTTTTGAGACAGAGGTTTGCTTTGTTGCCCTGGCTAGAGTGAATGCTGGGGCATCATCCTAGCTCACAGCAACCTCAAACTCCTGGGCTCAAGCGATCCTTCTGCCTCAGCCTCCCGAGTAGCTGGGACTACAGGCATGCACCACCATGCCCGGCTAATTTTTTCTATATATATAGATTTTTAGTTGTCCAGATCATTTCTTTCTATTTTTTAATAGAGACGGGGTCTTGCTCTTGGTCAGGCTGGTCTCGAACTCCTGACCTTGAGCGATCCACCCGCCTCGGCCTCCCGGAGTGCTAGGATTACAGGCGTGAGCCACTGCGCCCGGCCTGACCATTTCTTAAAGTAGTAACATCTTCTCTTTTAACCATTATTTCATCCTTTTTCATTAGAATGGAAATGTTATTTTTATCGGCACAATTGTGGGTGACATTTTAAGATAGAAAAGATCAGGATGTTTTTCTTATATCTATGGATTTTACATGTTGGATCTCACAGAATGGAAGGGACCTTAGAAAGCATTAGCTGTATTGCCCTCACTTCTAAAATGGGGGTGATGAGGCTGCATGGGGGGAATGTCTTGTTCAAGATCACAGAGCAGCTCAGTGGCCGAACTCACACTAGGCCCTGGTTCTCCCGCTTCCAGCCCACAGCCTTTTATTTTATGCCCTGAGGCCTCTCATTACCTGAATGTTTAAAGTGTAAGTAAATGGACATAGTTTCTATAGCTGTGTAATAATCTCAAGGGTATGGGAGGAATCACGTTGCACATATTAGTACTTCTGGATCTGCTATCTGACGTAAAATCCATCAATTTATCTTGATAGGTGTTCCTACTGATCAAAGCAGGGGAGAAATTTGAGTCTCTCATTATGTAGGAATATTTTTAAGTCTAACGCTCTCTCATTTAAAAGGTAGAACACATATTGGCCATTGCTACTTTTGCAGGCTCCTGAGGGCAGAGAGAGTTCTACTCCTTTTTGCATTGCCATCATTCTTACCCTTCCTCCATGTCTCCATGCCTGAAAATGTCAATGTGTGACACGTGTTTGTATCTATTATAAACATATTCTTTTATCTGAGGAAGCATGTAGCATTGAAAGAATAATTGCAAATGTAAACGTGCGTGCCTTGGTCTGGAATATATCAGGAGTCTAAATATATAAAATAACAAGACATTTTTAAGAAGTGATTTTTACATCCTGACAAATTGCAGATTTGTAATGGCATATATCTTGGGAAAATAAATGTGTCAATTAATTGCATTGTTTCAAATTGGGTGGTGGGGTTTATTTTATAACAGATACCCTATTCCACTGTCTAGTGTGGACCTATCGAGAACTTTTTTGTTTTAATTCCCTCGAGGAGAATTGGTCTTCATAAAACACATCTGTATGATACAGTTTGAGGAGTACTGAAAAGGGTAATGCGTCATCAGCCTGACACCACTAGAGATGAGGACTTTGAAGGCACTTTGTGTCAGAGAGCCGGTGAAAAATATTTCTTCAGTAAGAGCTGTAGAACCACAGGCATTAAAACCAACGATCCAAAATAGCCTAGTTTGATGACTCATTTTCCTTTAAAAAGTTATCCTTGTTCATGGACCAGAGGCGGTAGCAGACTTTGATTTTTGTTCCCTGTAGAGTTCACTGGAATTGAACATTGTAAGTTAACACTTAAGATCTGGGACAACTGAAACGTATTGAACAATGCATGGATGTTCTGTTTGTAATAATAAACAATGTAATGGCAGTATGCTCCTGTTTATTGAACACCTACTGTTATGCCAAGTATTACCTTTAGTTGGCACGACACCTTTGAGGTAGATAGCATTATGCCCAATTTATAGCTGAGGAAACTAAGGCTCAGAGATGCTAAGTAACTTGCCCATGTTTGTACAGCCAGTAAATGCAACAAGCTCAGAAGTCCACATGGTTAACCACTGCACTGTACTCTCTCTCAGACTCTTTTCCTGATCAATTAGATGGGATAATAATACCTACCTCAGGGTTATTTTAAGGCTCCAATAAGATAAAAGGTGCAAAATGCGCTTTGCGATTGCTAATAAAGCTTTGTAGAATGGACAGCATTGCCGGAAGTAGAAGGCGATCTGCTACAGTGTCTCCATGTGAGCATCTATCCTTCAGATAATCCCAGACGTCCTGCAGTTTGCACCTTTGCCCTTGGCTTTCTGGAGAGTGAGAGTCGTTTATGTCCTGGGCATAGATTCTGAGAAGTAGGTCACTGGTCCTACTTATTAAGTGATATTTTCAAGAGCATGATTTCCTTGCCATGTAGCTGAGAGGAGGAAAGAGGAGATCAACAGTGTGTCTGTGGACACAGATCTGCGGGAGACAAAGTTCTTTTTGGCACAATGAGAAATCCTGTGTCTGGTTTTAGCTGCACTTTAACATGTGTGTTGTTTCCTCCCCTTTCTTGTTTGTCATAGAAACTGAGCTGCTCCTCCGTGTAAAGGACATCAGTCATTTCTTAATGCAAGACATCGCCTTTTTGTCTGGTAAGCAAACTTTCTCATATGTAGTCCACATAAATGTATGAATTGATTAGCAGAGTTAGTTCGGTACTTAATATATACATAGCTATATATATATTAATATATATATCTATATAAGCTTGAGAAGCACTATTTTAATAAACCTTTATACATTGTGCACGTACTTGCTAAGCAAATGGGCATTTAGAGAATAATTACAGGCGTTCAGCATGTTCAGACATGTTAATAATACCAACCTTACCACTCTTCTACATTTGACTTTCAGACAAGTCTTCAGAAATCCGTGATAGGTGAAAGTAGACTCTGTCTCCTGGGTGAGTGCAGGCTGGGTGAGAGGGGAGCAGCTGAGGTAGCTTTTGTGAGATTTTCTCTTCCACCATAGTTCTGATAACACAAATGTTTATTACAAATGCTGGCAAGTTGGTCTAATTAAGTACATGCACTAAGTGTTTTTTTAAGATTTCATTTACATGTGATAGTTTATTTTTCTTAAATATGTATAGGCATTTGTATATAATTTTTAAAAATTGTGGTAAAGTACATACAACATACAATTTACCATCTTAACCATTTTTAAGAGTACACTTCCGTGGCATTAAGTATATTCACATTTTTGTGCAAGCATCACCACCATCCATTTCCAGAACTCTTTTCATCTTGCAATATTGAAACCGTGTGCTCATGAAACAACTCCCCATTCCATTCCCTCCTCCCCTCAGCACCTGGCAACCACCATTTTACTTTCTGTCTCTATGATTTTGACTACTCTACATAACACACGTAAGTGGAATCATACGGCATTTGTCTTTTTGTGACTGGCTTATTTCACTCAGCATAATGTCCTCAAGGTTCATTGATGTTGCAACATGTGTCACAATTGCCTTCCTTTTTAAGGCTGAATAATATTCCATTGTATGTATAGCCCACATTTTGTTTATGCATTCATCCATTGATGGATACTTGACTTGCTTCTACCTTTTGGCTATTATGAATAATGCTGCTAAATAGCATTATATATTTCTAGAGACAGCTATGGTAAACCACCTCTCCCCTTTTACTTCTGATCAGATTCTAGGGAAAGTTTTGCTTAAAAACAAGCATTACTTTCAGGTGTTAGAGTAATTTGAACTATATCATTAAACATTATATTTATTATATTAAACCATTAAAGAAAAATTTACCAGAATATATGTTGTTTTATGAAAACAAGAGCTTCTTGGGTGTTGAGAGTAAAAGAAACTATCTTATTCCCTTTAAGTAGTTTAATTATTTCTCCTAAAATAACACTCACATGCTCAGTTTACTAAACATGCATTTACTTTATAGATGATCCTAATTGGATACTTCAATCTGGACTATGCTTTTCAATGATTATAATTAGTTGTGATTGTGAATTAGTGATGACAATGTGGTTTTATGTTTTATTTTATAAGTGGCATAAATGTGTGACATAGTGTCTTAGTAAATTTAGTGGTATGTTAGGTTTACTTTTAAGTTTTAGAAATTTTACTTAAGATCATCAGTGTCAGCCAGGTGCGGTGGCTCACGCCTGTAATCCTAACACTCTGGGAGGCCAAGGTGGGAGGATCGCTTGAGGTCAGGATTTTGAGACCAGCCTGAGCAAGAGTGAGACCTCGTCTCTATAAAAAATAGAAAAATTAGCCGGGCATCGTGGTGAGCCCCTGTAGTCCCGTCTACTCAGGAGGCTGAGGCAGGAGGATGGCTTGAGCCCAGGAGTGTGTGGTTGCAGTGAGCTAGGCTGATGCCATGGCACTCCAGCCTGGGCAACAGAGAGAGACTCTGTCTCCAAAAGAAAATAAAAGATTGTCAGTGTTTTGCAAGCTGTGTTCCAAATAGAACCATTTTCAGGGCTTGCCGTGTCCATCCAGACCCTCTCTATGCTTTTTTCCCCTTATCTGCTTTTTGTTTTTTTTTTCTTTCATTTTTTTTTTATTTCAGCATATTATGGGGGTACAGATGTTTAGGTTACGTATGTTGCCCTTGCCCCCCCCCCCGAAGTCCGAGTTTCAAATATGTCCATCCTTCGGGTGGTGCGCATTGCACTCTTTGTGTATGCATATACCGGTCCCCTCCTCCC